CCTGTGAGAACCCATCACTTGGACAGTCGGTCGCAGTGATTAAAGGCACCTTTATCTCCAGACCACGTGCACTCAGAAGCGCTGTGAGCCCCTGGCCTCCTTAAAGTTTAACGGGCAGGTTTTTGAGGCTTTTCCAGCTGATAAAACCAAAATACTCCATGGAAAAGGCTGTAGTTTGGCAAAATGTCGAAATGAGAACAAATACCTCTTTTTAATGTTGTCAGAAGATGGTGTTTTGCAGCAAAGGTTTGGGTTTTCAGTTTAAACTGACCTTTCAGATTGAAATATGCTCTTATTAAGAAAAAACTCTTTTGGGGTAGGTTTTTTGGAGGAGAAATGGAGGTGACAAAGAGCGTGTGTTTCAACTAGTGAAAATATCTCAGATTGATGCTATCCTGACAATTTAGGTCAGCAAAATCTCTGAAACATGTGGAAGTTCTTTTATGATAGGAAAATCTTTTCCAGTCCTGCCGTAGGTGTGTGTGGGTAGTCTAGGAGACATCCGTCTTTGGTAGGCTTTGCTTGAAAATAGAAGAAAACCTGAGATCCCTGACTTTTAAGAATTCCCACGCTGGGATTATCATAAAACAGGGATGTCTGAGCTGCTTTGAGAACTCCTCCATCTCTTCTGTTGCCTTCACACAGAAAAGAAAGTCTGAAGGGTGACTTCTGTGAAGTGCTGCTCAGGTGGAGGTCAGAACTGCTTTTGTAAAACACCAGTCTGGTGCCAGCAGAAGGGTTTTGTTTGGGGATGTGCTGAACATCCACCTCTGGAGCGCTGCCTCTGGCAGAGCCATGGCAGCGGTGCCAGGTAAAGCACTGCTGGGCCTACCAGCAGCAAGAGAAAACGCATTTCCTCATAGAATTCCTTCTTGTTTGGCAAGAGTTAAAGCATAGCCATTTATTAACCTCTCTAAATCATGTGGCCAGTGTTGGTGATGAACAGTGTAGGTCGTGGTAGACAAGATACTGTCTCATCTCTGTTTGCCTTTGATGCACAGAATACGATGGCAGTTGATTGCTGCAGAGTGAATGGTGAACACTTTTTGTAGGACAGCTGTATTTCAGGTGCACAGGAACAGCTAATAATTAGTGTCAGTAAATCACTGTAGCACCAACCACAAACGTTATAATTCAGTTTGTAATTTACCCCTGATGTGGGTACTTGTTCTTCTTAATACTTAATATGCCTGTTTATAGGAAAGTTGATTGAGATAATTGAGCAGTGAAAATGCTCAGGTAACACGGCTTTGGTAACATTTAAATTGCCATGAGTTTTGTTTATAGCAGCCTAAAGAGCAATACTGAAATTAGAAATTAACTACAATTAGCAAATAAATTGAGTGTCTCTTGGAATTACTTGATAGTGTCTTAAAACGCTGCACAGTGTGATGTGAAAGCCAAGTGAGTCCCTGGGCTGTGGCAGCTGCATGGAACTGAGGTGCACACAAAGCAGGAGCCTCTCTGCTTCAGTGCTGCTGATGCCCAGCATCAGCATCATACAGATGCTCAAAAGGGTTTTGACCCTGTACCTGCCTTACCTTCAGCAGAGCCTGGGCTGCTGCCCCACAGTCCAGGTTTGGTGAGTGCACACTGTGATACCAGAACCAAAGTCTACCTCTGCATGAGGATAAAGGCAGCTGAGTGAGGTTTTCAGTGATGTGCACCCTTGTATGGAGTGGCCAAGACACCATTCCACTTGCATGTTCTCAGTAAGTGAACCTTGAAACACACATCTGATGTTGGCAAATTGTCATGAGAAGAATAACTTGCATTGGAAATACGTTGTTATCCCAGAAGATGCGTCGTAGATGTGGAAGTTGGTACTCTCTGGTTATCTGGAACATATCTATTTGGATGTCTTTTTGTGCTCACAGGTAGAAATAGTTTGCTTCCCATAGTAAGACATTTTAAGAACTCTGCTTGATCAGTGCTGTAGAGATGTGTGTAATTATTTTTTCTGGCATAATTTCATAGTTAGATGTGAAAAGAAAGGGGTTGTTTAGTACTGTTCAAATGGGTCATTAAATACAGTTCTGAAGAAGAAAGGAGGAGAATAAACCAGTTTCAGGGGCAGCCACTGACACATTTCTTATCTGCTTCATGCAGTAAAACTTCCCTTGTTCCTTCATCCTTCATTGTATTTCAGAGCCTTCTTGTAGATAGAGGCTTTCAGAATTGCATGTGTCTTTCAATTCTGCATCAGCAGGAGGAAGGTGCTGCTAAACCTCCCCATCCTCTTGATTCAGACACAAGTCTTCAGAGCCATCTAAATCACACATGACTGCTCTTCACTGCTGGGATCTTGTCTGGTTTGGGGTGCATGTATTTGGTTGTACTAAGCTCTTCATTTAAGCTTAAGTAATTGCTCTGGAAAGGAGAGGACAAGAGCTTTGCTTCATACTTGTCAGTGCACCAAAAGGGTGTGTGGGGATGCAGAGACGCGTTTGTGCTCTACTGAACAGCAACTAATCCTGATGAAGTGAAACAGGAGACCTTGTCTGGCCTGAAGAGAAATGGCCCGCAGTCAAGAAGCTGTAGCATTTATCTGGGATATGGACAAATGGTGGGATAGTGTATGCCTGGTAATACATCACTACCTCACTGCCTCCTTACCCTGCGCAATGTACATCTGGCTACCTCCTGGGAAACAGCCCCACTGGTTTCTGGTGACTTACTCTCCCCAAAAACAAGTCATCTGGGGTAAATCAGTATCTCCATGGGAAGCATATTTCCTTGAGTATTTCCTGGCTGTTTCCTTCCTTCCCCTCTTCAGCAGATTTTTGCCTCTTTGAAGAGCAAAACGGGGCTGAGGGGTAGAGGAAAGATTTGACTGATTGTAAATGTGAGGCAACGTAGAGATTGCAGATGGGGCGGTAACAGTGCAGGCTCCTGCTGCCTGCACCACGATCCTGGTGACAGGGTGAGTGTTGCCTGGCCTGAGGCTGCTGCTGCCTTTTTCTGTTGTGTTTCCTTCAAAGCCAGGTGCCTGACTTCCCTGTGGATTTCATCTGGGGAGAATTTATCACTGATAAATAACTGCCTGTGTTGAATTTACAGATGAGCTAAACCATTTCCTTTAATGTTGCAGTTTAGTACCTTTTCGTCTTCAGGTTTGCATAAGCACTGGCATTTGAAGGAAATAAATCTGCTGCTTAGATAAGGCATTTGCCATTGCTACCAAAATATATAAATGACAATTACAAGGTCATTAACCATAGCAAGAGAAAGAAAAATGTGCCATGCATTAAATAGCTGACTTCCAGGATGAGCTGGGCAAATAGCAGTATACTGAAGTGTACTGCTCATTTCCCTGTCTGACCATGAAAATCAATTAATCCCTTTCTTTCTTCATAGCACTTCCCCTTTGCACTGGAAACCTCAGCATATGTCAGGCCAAATTTACGAGCGGCGCGTTTTTCAGTGTATTTCATTTATCAAATGTAAATTCTAGTGGCCAGTGATTTACTGCAGAACCGCTTGGAAAGCAGCAAATACGTATTACCTATCCGAGTATTTAGGAAAAAAAAAGGCAAACTGGAGCAGAAGATTTTATCTGCCACTTCCCAAGCAATTTATCTTTGTCCCCAGGAAGGCAGCTTAGGTGAAGAACTGGCCCAGTGTTATTCTGGAGTGCATCTTGCCTAGAAATGAGCTCTTACGCTCTTCTGTGACTTTGGAAAGCAATGGATTATTGCTTGTATTTTACTACCTTTTATTTATTTCAGCTACATTATAGCACTGGGTGCAGACCGGAGGGAACTGAAAGGCGTAAGCTTCACTCACCCTGCATCACTCCATATCTCACTGATTCAAAGAGAAAAGACCTTATTGTTTCCCATCCCAGAGTTCAGACAGTAAATAATCAACAGGACAAACCTGTGCAGTACATCACATCTGTGCCTAAGTGTTACAGTCTCCACAGTCCCTTTTTCCATCTTCATCAACTCAGGGGTAGAGAGATAAGTAGCCATTTATTGCTTCTGATGTGACCAGGCTGCAGGTAAAGGTACACAGAAGAGTTGCACCAGGGGTTTTTCCTCCCCTTGCTGCTGGCAGGTAAGAGCTGAGGGGATATAGGAGCACTGGGTGAGAACTGTATCTGTTGTACTCACATCCACTGCCAAGTGCGGCCGCAACCCCTGTTGCTAAATAAATGTGTTTCACTTAATGTCCAGATTCATCAGGGCACCCTAAGCTTAGACTGGAGTCTTTATTCTTGGGTAAGATTTCCATGGGACGTCCTGTACTGACCAGGTAAGTCAGTGCTTGTTTCTTACTGATGAAGGTAGGACAAAGCACGTCTGTGATGGGAGAATTGGTGTACTGAAAATCAGTGAAGCCTGCAGTGGCTGGATTAGAAAGAGTAATTGACTGACTCACAGTCAAAGTCTTAAGTTTCCATAATAAGCAAGTAAGTGTGTTTCTATGCCTTTTTTTCTGGTTGTATTGTGCATGTGGGTAATTTGTTTCCTTTTATTTCCCAGAGGTAGTGTTTAAAACCCCACATAATAGACCGTGATGTGGAACAGGTAATCTGAAATACTGATACACACTAAATGTGCATCAGACTTTTCTGGCAGTCACATTTAAACTATTAAAAGTTTGTTGATTTGGAGAGCAGATGCAGTAATCCCCATGTAGACAGACAGACGACAGAACTGATTTTTTGAAGTTTCAGTAAAAAGCATTAGGTTAATTAGTCCCTGTGATAGAGGCTGCCACCTTACAATTTGTCGTCTGCCTGATGGTCCCAAGGACAGTGACAGTATGGGGAAGGACTTGCATATCTGTGGCATGTAAATTTATGTACCTAACACAGCCAGGTGCATTCACCTTGGACTCATCTGTAGTCAGTGTGTCCAGAGAAAGGTAAGTTGGATGGTTGTTCGATGGTGCCCATCTCTGACTGAGGAATGCTCTACATACAGCCTCTGAAAAGAAACAGAAGAAAACAAACCAACCCCCCTCAACATGTGATTTGTTATTTCTTCTCCCAGGTCTGGCAATGTGGAGGAAGCATGGAGGTGTTACCCTGTTCCCGCGTGGCACATATTGAACGCACAAAGAAACCCTACAACAACGACATCGATTACTATGCAAAGCGCAACGCCCTGCGGGCTGCTGAGGTCTGGATGGATGACTTCAAGTCGCATGTTTACATGGCATGGAACATCCCCATGGCAGTAAGTACAGGTCATGCTCTCTCCCAGCCAGAGGCAGGAACGTGGATGGGTGTTCCTAGTTAGCTCTTGGAGGTGAAGGATAATTACTACAGGTGTACCAAGTGGGCTTAGCTTAAGGGGAAGAGTGCTTCCGTGCTGGTGCATGCTTAATATGAAGAGTTCGGCCATGTAAACTTGCTTCCTCAGTGTAAGTTTTGTTGTACACCCAGGAGCAGCGACACAGATTTATAATTTAACTGGTGCAAAATGTTCCAGGTTTATGTGCTTCCTCAGAAGAAGTCATTAATTTGGGATGCCATTAAACTTTGAGGTGTTCATATGCTACAGCGGTGAGGACTCCGGAAATGTCTGTAAATAAATATCATCATTCATCGTGGGGCTCAGTAGACCTCACAAGCATAAAAAACAAAGTATGTAATAAAAGAATCACACGTTAAGTAGTTTTACTGTCTACAGGCTGTGAGTTGCAATGTGGACACATTCTGTTTCTCACTGCGCATACGAATTGTAGATGGCATGTGGGGGCCTCTAGGAATCCATGTAATATAAATATTAGATAAACTGTAGGTTCAATTTATCACTTTATTCTGTAAGTATGTCACATGCTACATCTCCACTGAGCATAATTCCTGGAGAGGTGAGGGATGTTATATCCCAGTCAGGTGGAAGCTGACTGCTGCTGTATTCTTTAGTGGTATTTGCATCCAAATTATTCATGTGAAGGGGCACAGGGAGAGCAGCTGAGGGGAAGCATGCTCCAGTCTGCAGGTAATGGTGGTTTAGTGAACCCTTGCATGAGGGGCTGGTCCAGAGCTGATTGAAGCACATGGAAACAGGAATGTTCCTACCAGAACGGGAAGGTAAGTCTTTGTGAATGTTCAGTTATGATAGAGAGTCCACCAAAGTCACGAGAGTCTTGTCAGAGACTTCATAGGATTTAGACTGTGTCCTAAATATCTACATACTAAATATGTCCTTTGGGATCTAGGTACAGTTTTTGTTCATTCCTGTTGTGGTGTTGCAAATACCTGTGCCTCAAGAAGCCATGTTTCATTCTTCTCCATGTGATGTCTGAATATGTCCAATGTTCGCATGTGTCCAAACTGCGCTCAGTGCTGTTCAGTGTCGGACACTCTGTGCAAGGGCTCTATGAAGATGTGTTTTGGCGACTTCTTTTGGCATGAGAGGTAATTGCAGAGAATTAGTTTGCCTTGACAAAGTAACTTCTTTCCCACACAAGAATTCCATGATTGCTGGAGGGAAACAAAGCAGCGTCCATTTAAGTTTTTAGGGCCATTTTGGCCCTGTCTGCATCTACTTGATAAAACAGTTTCAATCAGATGAAAAAGTAACCTTGGTAAAATTGTTTGCTTGATGCCATCTCAAAGGAATTCTGGGAAAAGACAAGATATTAAATAAACATTTACCCCCCAAAACATGATTTCCTTTAATCTCTCTGAGATTACTCATTGATGTAGTTTTCTGCACTGAGCTATACAGCAGTGCTTGTAAAAAAACCCTGGCACATCTACATTAAGAGACAGCAGAAGTACTGAACATTAAAATTTTCTTTCCATAAAATAAATCGATTAATTGATAAAATGTGCATCATAAAAATAACCCCATTAGCTCTCAGGAAAAGGAAGTGAATGTTAGTGTTCACAGAGTTATTCCACTGTAGCATTCAACCCAGAAGACCGTTCAACCCAGATGACTAAGAAGTACTGTATTGTTACAAGCCAAAAGAAAAACCTTCTGCAGGAGAACTAGAAACCGCATTGCTTGGTTGTAAAGAATATGTCCACATACTAAATGCTGTGGGCACCTCATTCTTGTGCCATCACATTGTAACCTGCATGTGATGACTGCAGCTAATACAGAAGTAAGCACTGTGCTATCATAGCTGCTCTGTAGAAAAGGCATCACAAATAGGGCTCTGTACTGCCTCGTTCTAGAATAGGGCAGAAAGGAGGGAAGTAAAATACATGTTTTGTCCCATACCAAACCCCATCCAAATTAACCCTTTCATAATTCATGGCATCTTTTTCCACAGCTCACTCCTTTCCAAGTTACTGAGGATCTGTGCATAATGTGTGTCTTGATCAGCAGATGATCTTTGGACACATATGCAAGATCATATTCCTGTAACCTTCAGCAGTGGGTCAGCATAGCATTAGTTTAGTTAACCAAGTAGTTGGTTTGCCCCTGCTTATGATCTGTTCCTTGACAATTTTAGTGATAAAGAAATCTTATATTGCAGGATTTATTGTGCTGAGTGCTTCCAAGAATTGCTCTCCTTCCACGTAGCCTGAAGTTGCACATAAATTAACATTCATTTGAATGGATGCTGCGTAGAGAGCTCATGACAAAGTATGCATCAGCAAATAGCAGTGAGCACAGCAAACTCTTTATGTGGCAAACAGAAAAACCTGTTCAGTATTACACTTGTATTCTCTCCTGAAAATGAAGCATCTGTTGGGGATTCTAATAAACCCTGAGCTAAGATTTGCTGCTGTCTTGTAATCCTGCATTAGACACAATTTGTAAACTGTACAGGAATCATTCTGGAGGAAATGTACCTCAGACAGATCCACGCACAAGTCCCTGGGATCAGTCCATTTGATTCATATAGTGTCAGAAAAGATTTTTAGATGAGGTAATTCTTGCTGTCTTAATGTTGGACTGTGATGATTTGTAACAGTTTAAATCAACAGACGCTACCTCAGGACCTGGCATTTCCTAAATGGCTGGGTTTGATCATACTGATTTGACTCTCCCAGCCTGTGTTTTCCATGGGATTTGAATTCAAACAAGAATTAGATTCTGAAGCAGAATTATAAAAAAGGTTTTGTGCATTTTATGGCTTAGGTCTGCAAATGAGCTCCATTTCCAGTAAAAGCTGAATGCTGGTCTATGCAAATGTTTAATGGAGCTTAATGACTTTTTGAGCAGCTCTGCTTTGAAGTTTTAACAGGTCTGTTCTGATCTCATTTACATTAGTGAATACCCAAGGCTGTTACTAGAGTAAACCATGATCACACTGCCATATCTTAGGTCAGAATTACTGCCTAAATTCCTAATGAATCTAAAAGCAAAAGAGTTCAGTTTGATTGCAAAAACTTGGAATTGCTGTAACAGCATTCTTATTGTATTCTTATTATTTTGATTTATGCTTGGTTTTTGCTTGTTATCTTTTTTTCCACTGACTTTCGTTACTATTTATTGTCTGCTCTCAACAGTAGCTGTTTGATAAGCTGCTACTTACGAAAGAGAGAAGGAAATACAGCTTGGTATACAAAATGAACTCCAATTCGGTTTCAGTAGAGAAAACACCTGTATAGTCAATGCAGCGAGATTTCTTTATTCTTTCTCTCTTTGTAGAACCCTGGAGTTGACTTTGGAGACATTTCTGAAAGAATAGCTCTACGACAGCGACTGCAGTGCCGGAGTTTTAAGTGGTACTTAGAGAACGTCTATCCTGAAATGAGGGTTTATAATAATACAGTCACTTACGGAGAGGTACTGTATGTCTTTGAAAAATACATCATGGCTGCATTAGAGCAGTCCTTTCATCTTAGTGGTGGGTATCAGGATGTACAGAGCAATTTCAAGTCAGCACAGTAGTAGGAAAAGAAATGCGCTCTCCTGTGTTTAATCACCACTAAGAAGTGTGGCTTTGGGAAGCTCTGTCCCTCTTGCTGGGGTATGATTGTGTAATAATGATACACAACCTCCTTGGTTTTTGCTTTAAGACGGAGCAGATGAGAACATAAATTTGGGGTAATTGTTTCCCAAATAGGATGCCATAGACATCCTCAAGAAAACATCAGCAGTCAAGACAGCTATAATAATTACAGTTAATGAGAACAGTTGGGTTTGCTGAAGTATTTTTAGGTAAAGAATTACCCTTTGTTTGGGTTTTACCAAACTACCTGAAGGATTACTTTATTAATCATTTTTGCATTCCTCATTGTTCAGCATAAAAAGCAACACAGGCTTGCTCAGATTATGAGGTGAGGCTACCATTTGGCAGGTCTTTATCTCATCCTGAAAAAGTCAGAGGAAAAACAGTTTTTCTGCTTTGTGCTCAGAATCTGTATTTTCATTGTCACTTGGGTACCAGTACTGAGTCAGACCCTGGAACACCTACTCAGAGGCAGATGAGTGGATAGGTTATTTAACCTTACTGAAATGCTGGATCTAAACATGTTAAAAATGTGTAGGTGTTTCAGTTGACCTCAGCTCTCTGAAACATTTCTTCCTCTGATGTGAGCCAATCAGAGTTCCTGCATATGCTTGACCCCAGTATGCAGCAAAGTCAGATATCCCTTCTGTAATTCTTTGAATCTATCATGTGCCTGTGATGTAAGGACTGCTGTCACGACTGTGAACTGGGGTGAAGTTCTAGGAGCTCTCCTGCTGCTTAATGTTTTTACAATTCTCTTTTAATTGTCTACTTGAACTACAATTAAATCCGAAGGCAATATATTTTCACACAAGACAACTAAATGGACATTCTTCCTTTCTGTCCCATTTGATTGACTTCATGTAAGTCAGGCGCTTCAGCTACTGATATGAAGTGTAAGTTTTATTGCATAATATCACTTTGCATCCTAATATAAGTATCCCTGGCAGTAACTGAGGAAAGACATTTAGTACATTCAACAGGAGCTATTAGTAACTGTCAGCTCTAAGACAGCTGTTAACTGTGAGGAACATTGGCAGTTCTGCCAATGTTGTGTCAATTATACCAGACGGTTAGCAAGCTGGTCTCTAAAAAGAAGTTTGTTTCTGTTAAGTGGTCACATAGAAGGTTCTTGAGTCAAACAGGAAGTTTAGTGATGCAAGCATCTAATTCATTAAAACTTGTAATAAAATAGAACACACAACCTATTTAGGTAGTATAAACTGGCATAGTTCTCTTTCAGTCTTGCATGCCTGCAATGAAAAAACTAGAGGCTTCATCCTAAATGACATCAAGTTGTTATTAAATACTTTCTCTTCTGCTTATTTTCTTGGAGGAAAAATATGTCTGGATTTTAGTGAGTTTAAAGGAAAATAAATGTATTGAGTAGATGTGAAACAGATTGAAACAGTAGTAAAAAATGTATTCTCTAGTGACTAAATTCACATTTTTTTAAAGTCATGCCATAAAGCTGTCTTCATCCTCTTTAGCCTTTATAGTACCTGAGTCATAAAATAAACCTTCTCAGATTTAACTGTTGAACCCCCTTATCTGATCAGATCCCCTGTTATGCTTCTATACTGTAATATCAAGAATTACTTACTGTTTTTTCCATCACTTCATGCAGCAGCTATTCCTGTATTATGGGGGCAGCCAGACAAATACTTCACAGTCTAAACGAAAGTCATCTGTTGACTGTTTCAAAATATCTAAATAACTTCTTGTTTAAGAAGTTATTGCTGTATCCTTTCACAGTGATGTGCTTTGTGTCACTTCTGTACATAGCCATATACTTTATTCTCAATTCCAGTAGAATGTTTTCATATGGGGTTTTTTGTTTGTATATGAGCATTAGGCACAAACAGAATGGTGCTACAGCAGGTTGTCCAAATTGTGTCTCTCCTGGAGCAAAGTCACTACTGGCATCCTGTCATACCTCGAGAATAAGCATTCTCAATAAGAGAAAAACAGTTTTACATTGTTTCAGTAGCTGTAGTGCAGCTCAGATTTAGCTGTATTGGACTTGCATTATACAGATTAATTTCTACTACAACTGTTTTCTTTCTGATCCGGTTACAGGTGCGTAACAGCAAAGCTAGTGGCTACTGCTTAGATCAGGGAGCTGAAGAGGATGACAAAGCAATCCTTTACCCATGCCATGGCATGTCTTCTCAGGTAAATGGATAAAATCCCATCATTAGTAAAAAAAAAACTTTAACTTAAAGAATTTTCAGAAGAAACAAAAAGTAATTTGGTTTATTTGATTTGAGGTTGGCAGCATATTCCTGAGATGCAAAGGAAAATAACTGGCTTTACTCCAGTTTTTTTGGGTGCCCTTTCCAAGGCTGTTCAGCATGTGAATCTATACATTGAAGATGCTAGTTAGGAAAACAGAAGAATCATTATAATTTGTTTTAGTAACAGAGAGATCCACCACAGATCTATGAATTTAGACAGTTTGAGTGAGCAGCTCTTCTTGTTATGACTTGTTCTAGGAATAGTACCTCTTTAAATTAACTGTTCATTGGTCCTATTGGTTCCTATGCAGAAATGATTTAGCAAGCTGCTGATGTGATTCCTCAAGTAGGCAAAAGTTAAGCACGCATTTAACATCAACTTCAAAGGGAATTAGGAACATCTTTTAAGTTAATGCTTTTCTAGCGTAGAATTCTTTTTCACTGGTCCCTGTGTGTATTATTATTTTCTCAGAGGTGTCTGAAGAGTCTAAAATTGCATTTCTTCTTCCCACACTCACAGTGGTGTTACTTGTGTTTTAAATACAAGTTGGGTATTATTTAAATCCAGGACTTGAGCTTCCTCTGAAATGCAATTCTAGTTTCTTTTGAAGTACTGTCTGAATCAAAACCACGTTAATGAACATTCTCATGTGTAAATAAACTCTGACCTTATCACAGACTTAACAACTATCTGGAGTTCAGTCATACATACATTGATTTGATTCCTGGCTCATCTGTCACCTTGGAGGAATAACAAGAGTCACAAAATACAAATATTGCCCATAGTGCTTAATTGCAAGCTGGTGAGGGAGTCACACCTGATTAGAGAGAAGGGCCAGTAATTCCTACTGACAAAACGTCCACCCTTGGCAGGATTCTTATGAAACATTTGACTGACACTTTCCTAGTAGAAGCAGAAGGAACAGCCTTTCAGTAAGGTAACAAAATAGTGTTGCTTAATTAGATGTAAATGAGCCTCTCAAGAAGACTCTCGTTAGAGGTGTTAAGGCACTCAGAGTTCAGTCTCTTGCTCTATGCTAATTCTGACCAGAAAGCTGCAAATTCAAGTCCTTCCAGAAAGTCCCTTTGCAACATCTGATGTCCCATCATCATGCTAACATTGGAAGAGTAATAAAATAACTGGTTCTGACCACAATTTATTTTGCAGTTTAAGTCCCTAACCTACTTGTTTGCCTCTACAACTCTTGTTTTATACAATATGTTTTGGCTTCCAGAAGAAAATACATGAGGGTGTAAGTTACTGTGAATTTATTGGAAAAGAAGTACAATGTGCCTAGCTTCTCCTGACTTAACTCTTGTAAATTTGGGGGCATGAAGCAGTTCACCTCTCAGCCTCCAGCTCTGACCGATTTTTTCCATTAAGGAACATGTAATTTTCCTTTTAGTAAATCTGGTGCCTAGTAAAGGATGCCTTTTGACTTATGGGCCCTAGACTAGACACTGGGCAGCTCTTCTCAGATGCAAATAACAATACACAAATTATTTATTCCTCCAGAAGATGAAGTTGGGTCATGACCAATTCAGTCTCTTCTGGCTCTCTTCTGCTGTGGGTCTTCAGTATCCTGTGTATGTGAATGCTCTGAACAAGCCTGAAAAGCTGGTTTTAGACTGTTACAGCCACAAGCTAGAGCTCTTTTGTTACTTGCACTGTACAAACACATAACAAGAGGAAGTCACTCTTCCCAAACCCTTAAAATCCAAACTATCCCATGTGTGTGAGAATTATGAAAGTATGCAGAAAGGTAGAAAGTTAATCTACCAAATCATCCTGCAGCACTTTCCATTTCCCTTTAAAGAAACAGGAAAAAACAAAGTTATCCCTCAGATACCAAGCAGAAGGCAGAGGTGATGTTCTATCAGAGTATTTCACAGACAAGCATGGGTGGGAGCCACTCAGAGGCAGCCAAGTTAATTAATGATTACATAGCTGGAAAACTTCTATCATCCCACACCACAATTCACAAAATTAATTCAGTATGAGAACCACAGCTGCACAAACCCTCATCAAGGATATTCAAGCACATAGCATGAAAGGTGTTGACAGCAAGCGTTTTAATATATTAAACAAACATTTTTAAAGCCCCTCTTCTCATCAGCCTGGGTGAGCATAATTGCCTGTTATGTTTAGCCTTCAGTTTCTGACATTTTTCATGTCAAGCACAGGGCATGAATTACCCCAATGAGTTGAGATGTGGGTTAGTTGTACATGCCTGCTGCATATATACAAATATAAACATGGAACTTGTTTACACCAGGTAGGTTATCACTGGTGCTTAATGCATCCTACCAGTGTGAAAGTCTCTCATTTTTCAGCTACAGCCTTTCTTGGTTTTCATATTCTTCAATTCTGACAAGCAGTTTTAGTGATTTTAGCATACACATGGTTCTACTGAAAAAGAAAGCTGAATTAGGAGTAAGAATACTGTTCATCTGTGATAAAATGCTCTTTTCTTGTACTTCTTGCCCTTCTTCTACTTCTTGCTCTTCTATTTCCCTTGCATATTGCACACCTCTGAATGGGGGTGTCCTGCACTGCCAGTGAAAAATAAAGCCACCCCACCGTTACTGCTCCATGAACAAAATGCCTTTCCCTGTGTGTATTCTCAAGATCAGATCTTACCATGATAAATCACATCTTTTCAATGACACCAGCTTTTAAATGTCTTTATTCAAACTGGGACAGGCTCTTTTATGGATGTGCTGGAATGCATTTAGTATGAGTTTACATCAATTTAGCTTGATTCATTTGACTTGAGCTAAGTCAGGATAAGCTAACAACTAAGAATATCCAGACATCAGTCTAAGTTGATTTCATAACTCGTTTCGCAGAAATATAGTGTCCTTTTTATATGTGGATCTGAAGTTTGAGTCTAATCCCTTTCAGGAGAAACTGTTTTGCAAATACTGCTGGGAGAAACAGTCTAGGGCTAGAGAAAATTCAGAAAACGGGGAACATATTGGGGGTCTTGACTGTCTTGCCTCTGCATGTGGCCTCTCTTGTATGATCACCTGTAAAGCTCATGGTTCCATAGCATTACATAATACCCTTTTGTTGTAAAAGACATTTTAAGAGAGGGGTGACAGACACTACCCCCCAAAAAGTGGAATGTGGTGTTTTAGAAGCTTATTAGAATGGTTATAGGACATGCAGGTTTTGAACCATCTGAGAACACTTACACAGCCTCAGTGGAAATATTCACTGTCTCGGAGTCTGTCTCAAATGCTGTGATGTGGAGCTGATTATACGGTATGTGAAAGAAGAGGACAACTTAATAAAATGGCATCTTGGGATAGAAGGGCCCTGGTGAACAGCCTCCTTCTCCGCCCTCCTCTCTTCCCTTTCACACCAAGAGAAAGACCAGGCACTGCAGCAGTGAAAGCAGAACTCCCTCTGCATTGAGATCAAGAAGAAAGAAGGGAGCTCTCGACATGATGATTCCTGGAGCTTGCAGCTATGCAAACAGATGGGAGTAAGAGGAGATGAAAGGCTTTACTTAAACTGTTGCTTGAGGCCAGGCATTTAACATTTTGCTTGGTAGAGCTATGGTTTTCCATAGTGGCACACTAGGGAGTTGGTCTGATTGCTTAGAATGGGGTGGATGAAAAGGAATTTTAACTTGCAGGAAGCGGTAGGTGAGATTCTGTAACAAACCGGGAAGTTTGGTAACTTGTCACCACAAGACAGATCACAAGTATTCTAGAGACTTAAGGTATTTCTGATGCCTGTGTAGCTCACTGTTTCAGTTTCTGTGTCAGCTTACAGCTTATCTTAACCTGCAGGGCCAAACAGTAAAGATTTCCTTTGCTTGGAGAACAAGAATGTGAGAGAAGAGTTAAATTTAGTGCAGAAAGCTACCAAGCCCATACGTATAACTGTTTCCTACTATTACCTGCTGTTATTTTTTGCTTTTTTTTTTCACTTGACTGGAAATTAGCAGGAATGGATTTTGTAAAGTCAAATCCTTCAGTTAAAAGCTGCCATTTACTTATCACGTTGCTCCTGGAGGATCACCTGCCACAGGCAGCATCGCTATTTCTGAAACAGATATGGTGGCTTTGATAAACAACCTTTGACATCTTTTCCATTCTGCTCAGATTTCTGAATGTTGAAGGGAGAACTATCTTATGTTATCATGGGTACAGCAGATAGCATCAGGATTAGATCTTGGAGTATTTAATAGAGCACTTAGCTTCAGTGTCTTTTATGTGGATCCTTCAGCTCTTCTCAGATAAAAGAGAAAATCTGAGTGAAGGTCCATCCTCATTTGATGTGTAAAACTGTCTCAGTTCTGTCACACAACTGCCACTTCCAATATTGAAGAAAGTTTGTAATAGAGTTGGTGTATCTTCCACTGCTAAGGCAAATGCAGAGATGGTACTTTCTGCTTTGACAGGCTTCTGTGCAACAATGGCTGTACATGGCTACTGTGATGCAGAGCACATGCAATTCTAGCCACTGAGATTCTAAAGACAAGACTATTTATACCATTTTAATATCAGTACAGAAAATACTGCTCATCTAAAACCACAGGGAAAATTGATACTACACTATGGAGCAGGCAACCTGTTATGAACAGTGGTGCTGATTATCTGGATAAGGCAAAGCCAACCAGGTTGCTAGAAGGTATTTTGGGACCTGCAGAGATATAATAAAGACTGCAAGATGAAAGCATACCTGGTCAGTTGAAGTTTCAGCTGTTCCGTTCATGTGAACTCTGCTGAGTACTCATTAGATATGAGAAGTGTGAAATACTTGCTTGAGCTTTTTCTACTTATGTCTCCTGTACTCCATAAGTAAAAATGTGTGTTGCTTTAGTGTGTACAGACAATGCCTCAAGAATGGTAATGCTCACACCAAGGAGCATCTTCATGTGGTTATCCCTTTGCTTTCTCTGATGTAGGCTCTCTTCTAACCCTGCACTTCACATGGTTGCTCCAAACAGAGGTGGCAGGTGGGAAAATGAGCACATACTCTGTCAGAGGGCATCTGGTCTGGGAGTAAGCAGACTATGCTCTTTTACTAGCAAGATACGATTATTCGCAACATGATTCCTCTGAGGTTAATAAGGATGGTAGTAGAAAGCTAGACTCCAATTTGAGGGGGTTTGATTGACTCTTAATGATATCTCATGCACTGGACAGTCACATCCAATAAATGGCAGCACTTCTGACCTTCCTTCCCTTTTTTGTTAAGTAATTTCAGCCATATAACAGCAGTAAGAACAGACAGGCAGTGAATTTCCTGGGTGATAACTGCATTTCTTCAGTGGCTCAGATCTTAACCCTGCAGTATCCAGCTTCACAACATACAAGCCATGTACCTGACTTCATTTTGCAGTCTTTGGCACCTGGGTGCTGCACTTGACTACTTCTAGGGTAAGGAGGGCAAAATATGCTGGTGTAATGATTCCTCATTTAAACAGAAAAGAAGTGAGAAGTAGGTGTGTCTGATTTGACATACTGGCCTGCTGCCAAATTAACATGGTGCATTTTCATTTTAATGTGCTTTGGCGTCTCCCTCAGGAGGCTCTCCCTTAGCTACTTACAAGAAGTAATAGTAATTAAGGGGATTACTTATAAATTCTTGCAACTTGTAAATGAGGAATCCATTGCTATCATAGTTATTTCAGTGCAGTGTGACACAGAGTGAACCTTTCCCCTCTAAATGAGCATCCTAAAACCACCTGTAAGGTTTTGAGGCTTTATTAGAATACAGGTTGAAACAAACTTCAGATCTGGAAGAGGCAGATTTCTTTTCTCTCTCACACACAGATTGTAAGAGACCATTATGTTACCTTCTAGATATGGATTTTTGTTTTCCTTGAGCACCATTTTACTGTGAAGGACTTGAGGCAAGTGAAATCATCACTTAAAACAAAAGAAAGGTTAAAAAACAATATAGATGCCTGTAAAAATTAACACTGATTGTGCTTGCCTAAGTTTATTAAATTTATTAAAGAAACCCCTCTAAAATAAATGGCCCTCACCTGAAGCTTCTAAGTACAGCCAGCAGCATTTACAACCTCACTAAACTGCACAATATTTAAGCCTCAAACAAGACTGAAATACGAGAGTGAGATTCTTTATGATGTAGGCCTGAAGCACATGTTAGCAAATTTGCTGCTGTTTTCCTCATGATTTCTTTTTTTCCTCTTATATTTTTGAATCCTGGTTGCATGGTTGGACTTTTTTATTTACAAGAACTAATTAGACTTGTTGCTATCAATAGCTCCTAACAGAGCTCTTAAGAACAAAGTGCACTGACAAATTGACATTGTGTCTTGTTAAACCAACTCCTGCTGAGTGTGTATGATTTACATACTGATTACTTCACTTTCTTGAGTGCCCTTTTGCAGTGAAATAGGGGCTGGGGAACAGAGGTGTGAAACAAGGGAATATTGTGTCCTTCAAGAGACCTGTCTTGGTAAAACAGGTTTCCCAGGCTTTGCCCTTGAACACGGTATGCCAGACTAGGAAGGTCCCAACACACAGCAGGACAAAGGACTCCTCCTCACCAGTGCTTGGGGCAGAACCTGGCAGAGGAGTCAGCTGCAGGCTGACTTTGTGTCCCCTCACTGGGGTCCCCTGGGCTGCAGTTAAAGACTTCCCTTCCTTTCCTTTCTTCCCTAGCTTGTCCGCTACAGCTCCGAGGGTGTCCTGCAGCTGGGGCCACTGGGCTCCACAGCCTTCCTGCCTGACTCAAAATGCCTTGTTGATGACGGGAAGGGCAGGACACCAACACTGAAGAAGTGTGAAGATGTCCTGAGGCCAGCACAGAGGTTCTGGGATTTCACACAGGTAAAGAAGAGTTCAGGGACAGGTTGCAGAAATAAGTTGGAGAGGAATGCTGCTCTAAAAGTATCTAATGGAAAACAAAGAGGCCTTTAGAGGAACTCCCCCATATGCCTTCTAGAAATAGTCAAATATCTTTTCTATAGGTCATGTGCTATCCAGGAAGTTTCTTGTATTATTACTAGGAAATTTTAGTTATCCTGTCTTGGAATATTCTCAATGTTTGTAGTGTAAAGAACATATGTGTAAAATTTTTTGTGTCCCCAGGTATTTTTACTTCTAGAACTTTTATAGGATTTTTCTAACCTTTTTTTTTCCAGGAATTTTTAGACATAAGGCTTTAAACTAAGTTTCAGAACTTTCAAAGGCATTCTTACAGTTTCTGGGATTTCCTGTGTCTTGGGGTCTGTAGGGATTCTCTAGTGCTTTTTCGAGATTTCCTAGTGCTTTCTGTGGAATTTTCTAGACATTCCCAAATCTGGAATTATCCAGCATGTGTGTTGGCAGTTTCTTTAGATTATCTAACTTCTCCTAGGAATTTCTAGTTCGTCCTGGGGACTTTTCTCACTTTGTATACAGAACTTCACAGGCATTTTATAGTGTTTTCTGGGGATTTACAGATGTAGCACTATTTTTCTTCTCACCTTTTCACCTTTTCTAATCCACCTTTCCTTCTTCTTTTTTCTCAGAACGGTCCAATCATCAGCAGAGACACTGGCCGTTGCCTAGAAGTGGAAGTGTCAAAGGATGCAAATTTTGGGCTCAGATTAGTTGTACAAAGGTGCTCGGGGCAAAAATGGATGATTAGAAACTGGATAAAACACGGCCGACACTGACTGCTGGGGCTCAGAAGTTGCCTCTCCTGCCGTTGTCCATTGCTCAGTGTGCCATATTTTGCAAGGCATTTGTCTTAAAGCAGACTAGTCTGAACTGGACTTGACTTGGCTCTCAAGTCCTCCACAGCTGGGCATTCAAAGTGAAAAAGAAAGAAGACAAAGAAAAGCAGATACATACATGCCCTATTTGACTCTTCCTTGCTCTGGTAGATGACCTGGGAAGCTTAACAAGAATTTTCTGTTGATTTGGAAATCTCGTGAAGGTCAGAACACAGCAGAAAAGTGGGTTCCCTAAGCTCTCCTGGAGAAATTGGCAGGCAGATGTTTCTGTGATGAGTTGAGAGATCCCAATACTGCCTCAAAGAGAGTTCTCTGATGGGTAGCTTTTTAGCTTTAAGTTATTGACTGGTGCACAACTCCTATGGTGAATAATCACGTGCCTTTTTTATTGTACTTCGTATAAAAGGGGACTGGTCAAATCCTACCTTTTCAGCATGTCTGGTTCATTGTACTCAACAAGATCTGTAAATAACACTGGAAATATAATATATGATAAATTTCAAGGTTGATTGTTTAGGAGTCTCTGTTTCTAGAAAGAGACTGTTCTGCAAATGTTTACAGGTGGTTCTCAACCTTCAAGCTGCTAAAAAGCAGCATTTTAGAGACCTCTTCTAGTTAGACACAGGTAAATGTTGAATAGGTAAAATAGCCACATGCTCCATTATACTGCCACATTTTACATCTCTTGGCTGTAAAGGCATCACAATATAGCCCTTGCGTATTTAACTGAGGCAGTAAATGTCGTAGTAGAGGGATGAGTTTCTAGAGGCCTCAGTTTGGCCCACAGTCCCCAAGTACATAAGTGTAAGGTCCCACCTGCAGTGCTGTGGATGCAGGTACACTGTTGTGTTGTTCCAGAAGCTGCCTTGGAAGCTGGATACTCATGACTTCTTTCCAGAAGGTGACAGACTTAGGTGCCATCTGTAGATTGTAGAATGTAACAACTTGAATCCTCCGTTTCATTACCCATACTGTGAAAATGTCAAATGTGAGCAAATATGCTTTGTGAGCACTGTCTGATTTTCTGAACAAACCAACAAAGTCTTTCTGGTATTTGAAAACCAAATAAAAACCTAGTGATAAGAGGGCAAATTAGAGCAAGAACTAGGAGCATATATAAATACTGTTACTCTGAAATACAAATATTTTAGTGTAGTTGACTCATTGACAGCATCTTTGTGAACCTGAATTTAATGATGTGTACAGTGGTTCATGCAGTATCTGTGCACAGGTAGCCAGAGCAATGACAAGTGCTTACCCTGAAGGCTGTCAGAGTTGCTGACCACTGTCAACATCAGCAGGCTTTGGATGCAGGTCCATGGCAGACAGCTTTTCATTTAGAGAAGATTCAGTCATACTGAAAGAGAGAGAGAAATGGTATCTGTTAACTTCACTGTTTAATATTTTATAGTAATTTTTTAAAGAAGTTTTGTTTTACTGAGCCAGGGAAACGGGTAATTGCAGATACTGTGGTACTGTGAATCTTGGTGATCTGTTTCTTGAACAACTTCTGCCATTTCTATTTCAAGGCATGCTGAACAAAACAGAATGAAAACAAAGCCAATTTTTCAAGGGCATGATAGATAATAAAATACTTACTTTTAACATGCAGAATCCATCAGTTCTTGTCAACTCTGGGTTGGTATCTAGAAACCATATCACTATTTTGCCCCAAGTTTATTTTTGAAATGGAGCGTGTAAGATGTGATACAAGGCAATTCTCCATGAGTTTATTTATGGCTCACGGCTAATCTTTAAATAGTCACATGATCAGGTTATGCATGAATATATACAAAAGAATCATTCTGGGTGAAATTCTAAATATAAAAATGCTTTAAATTCTGTGTTTATGGTTAGTTGAACATGACCTCTTGAATGGTGTAGTGAGACCTGGAGGGAGAGGTAGCATCTTTAATAAATCAAGCAATACAGTAAAAAATCATGGACATGCTCAGTATTCAAGCCTTGCTGTCGATCGTCAACAGGTGGGAAGCTTCAGGCTAAATACACGTTGGGAACAGTTGCCCTGTATTTAACCTCCCATTAGACCATTTAAAAGGATAGGTACCATCACTGGATCAGGTGTTGAACGCTTTGTACAGGAGTTCTATTGCTAAGAGACTTTTCATCTTCTCTCCAGATAGTTCCTCCCTTTTAAAACTGTATGAAAGCTGTATTCTGTTTTTGTTTAGTCTGGTGGAGTTCTATGCCTTGAAACATTCTGGTGAGAGAGATGAGCAGGCAAAAGAAGGGAAAGACCAGTTTGAGCTTTCTGGGGAGTAACATCGCTGGTCATTCACATCATTTGTAGTCTTTCCAGTGAGTAAATGGTAACTATTTTATATGAAGATGGCTGAAAGCTGAAAGTAATTATCTATCAGTGTGACTACTAAATGCGTAACAGAGTATGAAGTTACTGTACTGACCGGAAGCAAATATGCCACGTGCTTCCCCCCTTTTTTTTCTTGTCTTGAATTGCCAATATACACTTGATCCTCCGCAGTGGGGCAGCGAGCTTTCAAATCCTGGGTAAATGAAAAAGGCAGGCTGAATATTTGGAGGAATACCAGGTTTTAAATTTACTATCCTCAAAGAAATGTTGCATTTGTGGGTTTAGGGGATTTGAAGCTGAGAAGACCAGATAGATGTGTGTTTGCTGGTAAAGATTTCAGGGAAGTGTGGTAAGCCTTCACTATGATACCACAATGACAAACGTGAATTTTTTTTCTTGGAATGTTGCTACTGCAAATTTTGCTACTGCTTTCAGTGCCCAGTGCAAAGCATTTGGATGTGGCCACACTGTCTGACAAAGTGGTCAGTCCTGGCAAAGCCTGAAGTGCAGAGGCCATAGGCTGAAGAGGGCTAGTGAGAACCAGACTGTCCATATAAGAAGGAAAGCAGGGTTTCCTGATAGATAAATGGCTCTGAGAGTTACAGAATAATATACAAGAATTCAAATAACTCTTAAATGTGGAGTTGGTATTTTCTGATTGTCATTTTTTAAAGATTTACTGAAATAATTTCTTAAATTTAAAAAACCACATCTGTTGGATTATTTTGACTTTAGTCTTTATCTGTGTGAACCACTGCTTTAGCTGTGGTGTAAACATGGTGACTCTGCATGTGAGAGGGTCTTAAATATTCTCTCATAAAAGGAATAATAATAAAAGAAGCCTTGAGTATTATCTCTTTTAACCAAAGCCTATGGGGTTTTTGTCAGTATTTCACCCCTTAACTATAATATGAAGTCCTGCTTAATGTTTTCAAATTAACAGTCTTGTTTCCCACAGTGCAGGAGTCCAGATATTATGATAAGTATTTAATGTATGTCTTGGAGAGAAAATTCAGCTAAAAATCTTCAGTTGCTATTTTATTTGATTTAGGAGATTGTGGAGTTAAAATACTAGGTCCTAGGAGGGAATAATAGAAGGTGAGAAAGAATACCAAGTCTAATATGCTGCTGGTGTACTAGATAGGATACTAGATAGTATAGTTTTACTGGCAAACCAGTAAAAATAATACTTTTCTAATTATGTAAAGAACCCTAAAAATTAGTTTGAGTCATTTGGGGGTGGGAGGGGGAAGCCCTTTCTGCTTTGATAGCCATAAACTGTTTTCCAATCTGAATTTATTCCTGGATTTATTAAAGCCACTTGTTACTCCGCAAAAATTGTCCTCTAGCTTTACTGGCTCACTGGTCCCTGAAGCATGATAACCTCCCATGGGTAGCAGCTAAGAGAAAAAAAAGAGCTAAAAAAGGTCTTGTTGAAGGACCTGATGCATTACTCTGTGATTATTTTATGATGTTGAAGGTCTTGTCCAGCCTGGCTGATTCCATGATGCCATGTAAAGATCTGTATTGTGCTCATCCATGAGGCTTGAGAACTCTTCAGGTGCCACAGAAGAGATCTAAGACAAAATATGGAAACAAGCAACAGGTCTTCATACATGTTCTGAAAGTATGGATCTTATTTCATTTAAATAAATAATATGGGGCTTGATGTGTCTGAAGATCAGACCTTTGCAGTCCTTTGTTTGTATTTCTTTTCATCAGCCTACTCCATTTTAAAACCCATGGTCTAATAGATGAAAACCTGACTTGCCGTGTGACAAGGGGTGTAATCTAGCTGACACAGGACAGCTGCAATTTTAAGTACTTAAGCCAGAGCTAATAAGATTTAATGAAATAGCACCAGTCCTAATCTGTTCTTTAGATCAATTACACAGCATGTAATTCCTTGAGTATCCAGTATTCATTTGAAATGCTTCATTAACAGCCATACTAAAGCACATTATGGCTTGTTTCGGGACCAAATGTGTTGGGTTGTAAGAAGAACTTTAATAGAAGCTGGAGTTCAGGAGTCTTGCTGTTCAGTTAGGACACAAATACCTTTGTGGGTTTTTGGTGGTTTTTTTTTCATGAAAGGCTTTGGGAGGAAGAACAACTGTCAGAATCTGCTTAACTGAAAATGTTTCTAGCAATGATACGACATTTTTGACTACTGCTATTGTGACTTCCTGCTGCTTACTGCTAATCAAAGCTGATGGTGAAATCACACCAGAGATAAAAGATGGTATTGCAAACAGAAGAACCAACTTCTGGTTCTAGATAGAAACCACATCTTCTCATGTCTCTAGATCTGGGTGGCATCAAAGTAAACTTACTGTTATGTTCTCTCTGGAAAGAGTCCCCAACTTAACACATTTTTTTTATTGCTTCACCAGAAATACCTGTTCAAGAGGCCACTGTAGCCGGTACCTCTTAATCACATTTTGCAGATACAATTTGTTTTGTGTGTGTATATGTAGCGTTAGTGGAGTTAAGGTGAGAGCTGTTAACTACTGAATGCATATAAAATACATTAGATCTACTGAAGTGTGTGCATCATGCATTTACATCTTTCTGTGGGGTAACCAGGATATTCTTGAAAAGCTAATGCACTGAGTGCATTCTGCTGGAGATGGACTCTGCTTGCCTAGTGAACTGAGGGAGCTCAAGGAGCAAATACTGAAATTATGTAGTTAGTAGTTCTCAGTGAATTTGGCACAAAATGCATCAATATTTACATTTTCTAAAAATGTAATGAATTGGCTTCAGGTTCACTCTTTCCAATCATCCTGGTTTATTCTGGTAACTGTTCAAAATACCTTGTCCCTCTAAAGCCCTGGGATGCTTATGCATATGAAGGCATTAGCTGTGTCCTCCCAATGCCCCAGACATCAGTGGTATGAGAAAAATATGATAAACAGTGATGTCTTCAGTACATTGTAATGGATTTTAGAATGGTTTCACAAAATGCACTGACTTGTATTACAAAAGCATTAATGATAGGTAACTAAAGGTACTGAGTTCGTGGGTTGCCCTAAGCAAAAGCAATGTTATCTTTGGCCAAGAATACTTACTCATAAATACGCTGGTGAAGCAGCATCTGGCAACTTGATTTTGAGGAAGAGAATGTCTGAATAAAGAGCATTCCTCAAAGGCATTGTAGAAGCACTTATTACTTGGCACAGCGTTACAGTTTTCTATTGGCCATCAACAAGGATTGTGTGGTTTTCAAACTCTTTGTAAAAAGTTTAATTTAAAACAATACTGCAGCAACTAGATTGCAAGTTGTGACTGCAAAGAATTTTTCATTATGTGGCACATCATCAAACTGGTTTGTATTTACACTTGAAAAGATAATAAATTACTATGCATTTTACTGCTGACATGAGCTGCATTTTTTATCATAGTACATTTGAACACCTTGTATTAAGGTTCAAAATTGTCACACAAAGGAAAAGTAGAAAAACAAAGTACACATGCATTTTAAATTGCACTTAATCTGTTCTGAAAGGTAGTCATCACATTTTTGAGATGAGCACAGCACACTGCAGCAGATTGCAAGCTGTTCTAAAGCGCAGGAGCTCTGTGCACGTCAGAGGAGATGCATCACCACACACTCATTAGAGACTTGGCCACTGAGCACACACATCCAAAGCCAGACTGGTGACAGTACACACTACAACCACATTGTGGCTGTTAGACCTGAGGGGAGGCTTGTCTTGCTATCCCAGCACAAGGATGTACTTGTGTAATGCTTGCAGGTAGCAATCCACACAGCAGTACAAGCTCTGTTCTTGTATGGTCCCACCAGGACTAGTAAGTACTTCATAAGAAACATTCAAACATAGATTAAAACAATCCCAATAAAAAAATTCTGACCTTGGAACCACCATTCCCAGAATGGAAAAATACACCATAGAACCACAGCTGAGAAGCTGCCAATGAAAGCATTCTCTTCCTAGAAGCTTTGCATTGGAGCTATGTTTTAGCAACTCAAATGTGTAAGAGCACAACTGATCTGTCATTGACGTATTGTTACTGTTCTAAAGAGCAGAACCAAAGAAACAGACCAGTGTACACTTCCCAAATTGTCTAGTTAATACGAAGGACTGAAGGATATCCCACAGCCTGTGACCTGACCTGTATCAGCAGAGAGGCTGGACTCACAGGTGATATGAAATGACATTGCCCTGCTGCAGCCAAGGAAATGGTGGGCACTACAGTAATTTTTACCAGCTACAGAGCTGGTCTGTTGCCACTGATGATATTGCTATTG